GTATCAAATCAGGGTATAGAACAAAGACAATGTGGCAGTACGAATAGTGACCAGAACCCGCCGATGACGTACTCAAATATGTGGCAGCAATGATAGTATCTAGCACTCACCCACACTTACTCGTCAATAAGGTAGCATCAACGGCAACTAGCACCCGCCCACAACACACAACTTGTACGGTAGCATGACAGTATAAGGCACTAGTTCATAACCTGCCCCCACTAGGTCTACCCATAAAACCTCTCGATACAAATGACATCAATGTCGTGAATCATCATTACCAAAAGTAATTCGGTAACTCAGCATTCCGTAAGAGTTGAGACATGGTCCAAAGACGTCGACATCCCAGCCACTCTCAAAACCCTAACGACTATGCTACAGGTACCTTCTGGCTTAAGGTCTTAATCCTCAATATAACAAAACCAACAACTCCAATGTCTCAAAATACTCCTATTAACAACATCAATCAAGAATTTAAAGCCTAACAGAGAAATCAATACCACCAGGAATCAAAACGAACCTCACTACAAGACATTTCATCGAAAGTCCCACATATCTTCCTAAAATAACTACAAAACCACACCGGAATCAAACATTGGATCAAAATCCCTATCACGGATAATTAAATCCTTGAAAAATAAGTCCACGACGTGGCACACACATCAAAATCCAAACAACCAACGTCACAAAACAAGTCTCTCAAAACCGTGCTTGGCGTCACCAAGCTAAATAAAAATTCCTTAATTTCAGTCCATAAACAGTCACTCACTGGAACTACGATTCCTCAAAACTATGCCTAGCCATAACTAGGATGAGAAAAATCCACAAATAAGCCATATCCAACAGCAATCTCCTAAACTTCTCCTAAGACTCAACTACATCCAGGTCTCCAAAAACCAAAGCAAGTCTCCAAAAGACATCCTCAAAAAAGCATCGAACTCATCTTATGAATCAAACAAATCCTCAATGATATGGACACAAGTCCCCATAAAGTGTTCTCACATAAATCAACTCACTCTGACCACCACAACTCCATCAATAACCATGGAAAAAACTCCCCAAGGGAAGACATAAAGGAAAAGAACCACCAGTCCTAAGATTGACAACACCACGACTCCACCTCTGAAACAAAAGATAACAACGTCAAAGACTTCACCCCCTACATGGGAGTATGTCGACCAAAATTCACCAAGGACTCAAGACAACAACGGCGATCCTCACGGACCAACCAACCCCAAAACCGTGCACAAGGTGACGAAGAAAAGAGACTCACTCCTTATGAAATCCCAAATACGAACCAAGAAAAAGAGGAGAAACCCTATTCTCCTACAAGTGGCAACACATCAAATATGAAAATGGAGCATTCTTCCCACCTTAGGGAAGTAGACATCTCAAGACAAAACAAATATGAAAACTCTTCTACAAGGAATCTCATAATGAAACCATTACAGAAACCGGCATACAAACTACGCGCGACCGAGGGAAACAAATAGGAAAACCAAAATGGAAGTCATGCATATAACAAGGAAGGCAACTACCAAATAAGTAAATCTACTCACATATATAAAGTTAAGAGTACATGCGGCACGTCTCCACGTGAACACAAAAGCATGTCATTAAAGCACAGCAACAACACGGCATCTCTAAGCATATAAATAAGGCATGCTAATATCACACAACAAGAAAACAAATGTTGATAGACCTTCACCTACTCATGCTTCACAATAAAATAAATCATAATACTAACTTGTAATAAACAAAACTGTAGAAGATAAAATGATGCAACAATGAACCCTATGGACATCGTGTCCTAAAGTGTCCAGGTAAAAGGGAAACAAGTCCTAGCTATAATCTGACTCCAAAAACCAATGTGACAACAACCTGTCTCAAAACAAACGTGAGCCCTCACCATAATGGTAAGACTCCTACAATCCGTTTCCGAATGTAAAGGTGACACTATGAGTGACACTAACAATGCAATGCTCTCACTAACCCGAAACATTGATCAATCGACTCGACCACAAAAGCGTCATCACGCAAGGAGAACTCAAATGAAATGGCTACTCTAGCTATACCAGCAACAACCAAATCAATCACTACAATTGATCCCCAAAACAACCATCATTATCATCAATCAAAGGGAATATGCCTATCAGGACAAAACCAATGCTGATTCCATCCGAAATGCTCTCGTAGCTAGCCACTATGGTAGAATGACAGTGCCATGCACTGGCCCACAAAACCAACAAATCTAGTCCTACAGCTACAGTCAATGACTCAACTCACAAGAGTCTAAACAAAAGGTGTCTCTCTACCTACCTCAAAACTGATGCTAGATCAACAACGACCTAAACTATAATGAAACTGTGACTACAATCACCATCAATCTCAACTCGTGCCTCAATGACCAATCCTGTGTCATACTAAATATGTAAGACAGTTATGCATATATAAATCTAACTTAGTATACATCATATGTCATGCTCTTTACAATGGAATACAATCATACTAAATAAACGGCATACCACATATAGCACGTACGCATATAAACATGTTATCAAACCAAAACATGTTATCATGAAGCATATAAACACGTAAAACAAAGCAACAAAAACGTGAAATGCACCTAAAACCCGTCATCCAAGGCATTCAAACCTAGGACCTCTGATACCACGTATGACGACCTGGTTCTTCAAGCCAGTGCATCCTGTGATAAACTAGAGATTGACCCAATAGTGGATCCAGATACGAAAGTAAGAAATAAGACAACAGTCTCCTAAGGCACAACATGCCTCTAAGACACTTTGAGGACCTTCCATGAGGTCTGGAACACAATGACAACTAACGCGGAAATAAAAGATCAGAAAAGTAACAATTTAGCTCCCAGGGGCAAAATAGTTATTTTTGAAAAAATTGATTCGGGGGCCACCGAGCACAGCTGGAAAGACAACAAAAAACTAATCAAGATGGACTCAAGAATCACATGATTTGGAGTCCGAATAAAGGAAAAATGACATGACGAAGAAAAACAAGCCCTTAAGGCTAAAAGAGTAAACTGGTAATTATCTAGGAAGATCTGGGTGCAACCGAGCACACCGTTGGAAATACAGCAAAAAATTAATCAAGTTCAAGAAAAAGTTCACTGGATTTGGAGTCCGGACGAAGGAGAACGAGCAAAAACAAAAATTAACGTCACGACGTCGAGACAAGCACCCCACGAGCACCTCGAAAAGCACTATGACATGCTAGGGGAAGAAAAGTTCCAGCCACAACTGAGAGCCAAAACAAGGTCAGAAACGAATTTTTCTAGAAAAACACGAAGAAGAAACCTCCCCCAAAATCAAGTTTTCTACCTGACAACGTGGAAGAAAATACAAAAAAACTCACTGTGAAATACCCAAATTGCCCCTAGATCAGAAGAGGTCAAGAGGGTCAAAAAACTGCTACAGGATCTGTTTGCGACTGAGAGCAAAAACGAGCCATCAAGGGCGGACCCAAGGCTAGGCAAGGGTGGGTTGTAGCCCACCCCAAAAAAAAATTTTTTTTTTTTTACTATACTAATATATTAGCCTAGCCCAAAGAAAAAAAAAATTAATAGTATTAGCCCACTCCAAATACCCAATGAAGCCCAACTTCAACTCAGCCACCATACTAAAAGAAAGGCCCAAACCAAATAACCCCATGATGGGCACCAGAAAAAAAAAATAATAATAATAATAAAAACTTAGGGAAAATCATTTCGCGCTTTACACTTTAGTCTTAACACTTTTGACTTTACACTTTACAGCCTCCCACAGTCCCGGCCACCACTGTCTCATGTTCGGCACTTCGGCTCCTTCAAATTTTAGGGCAAATCATTGCATATTTCAGGCTTTCCTTTTTAGCCTCCCCCAGTCCTACGGTCCTACCCAACAAATTGGAATTGTATTCATGATTCATCACTGTGCACGATCAAATGATCAATCGATAATTTGATATTTAAGGTAACTCATAATTCATTTATTCAATTATTAATTTCCAGGTATATATATATATATATATATATATATTATTCCATATTTTTTCTTAACAAAATTACTTAATATAGGGTTTAGTTAATTGGTTGATATATTTTGATTTAGGTAAATTACTTAAAAGTCAACAAATTGAATTGAATCACACAATTTCTAATTAGATCTCCCTTTGCAGAAATTGTTGAAGGCCAACAAATTGGAATTGCTTTCAATCTTTCATCACTTCAGACTTTCAATTATTAATTTCCATGTATATATATATATATATATATATATATATATTATTCCATATTTTTTCTTAACAAAATTACTTAATATAGGGTTTAGTTAATTGGTTGATATATTTTGATTTAGGTAAATTACTTAAAAGTCAACAAATTGAATTGAATCACACAATTTCTAATTGGATATCCCTTTGCAGAAATTGTTGAAGGCCAACAAATTGGAATTGCTTTCAATCTTTCATCACTTCAGACTCTAAGTATAAAGCACAAGTGCACAACAAATTGGATCAATTGATATTCAAGGTAAGTCATTTCTTCAATTATTCAATATATATATATATATATATATATATATATATATATATATATATTTATTTATTTATTTTTATTCCATATTTTTTCTTAACAAAATTACTTAATATAGGGTTTGGTTAATTGGTTGATATATTTTGATTTAGGTAATTACTTAAAAATTTAAAATTACTTGTTTTGCAAACTAAAAAGTCTAAAATAGAATTAAACAACATCGTTTATGTTAATTTGGAAAAAGTAGACAAGCAGTGATACTGTGATAGAATGTTAAAAAATAGAAACTACAGTTTACAGCTGGTCTTAGCATGTTATTGGTTGATATATTTTGATTTAGGTATTTCTACCTCATTCTTTAATTTTATTAGGTTAAATAATAATGGCTCAATATCAACCTCCAAATAAGAATGTGAAAAGTATGTCTATTCTCTTATTATATCAAAAGAGAGGCCAAATGTGTGACGATGGTCAATCGAAAAAGGATATACCTAGTGGTAGTGCATCTAGCGTTGACGATGATCAATTGAAAAATGATATACCTAGTGATCTTGATTTGCAACCTCCTGTGGCTCCTGCCCTACCTCAAGTTGTTAAACCCAATCAACTTCACTCCACTTCTATTGAAAGAGATCATGGGTTACGTATTCAAATACATGAATACCCGGTAAATCAAATGGATAAGCTTAGACGAGCTTACATCAATTTGGGGCCTTATCAACCTAAACTTTCCAATTATCCTAACTCTTCAGATGGAAAGCAGAATCGACAATTTAAGTATGAATGGTTCAAGCAATTTCCTTGGCTAGAGTATTCTCCTTCAAAAGATAAAGTATATTGTTTTCCATGCTTTCTCTTTGAAAATACGGTGGCGAGTCGTTCTTCACTTGTAGTTGGTGGATTTAGCGGTTGGAAGAGAGTTAATGATTGAAAAAATTGTGTATTCTTGAAACACATAGGACTTCAATCCTCACCACATACAAAATGTGCCATACTTTATGGGAATTTCAAGAAATCGGCACAACATATTAATAAAATGTTGAATGCCCAATCAAGAGAGCAGGTTTTGAAGAATCGAATGCGGCTTAAAGCAACTACTGAAATTGTTCGCTTGCTAGCATTGCAAGGAATTGGTTTTAGAGGCCATGATGAAAGTTCAAGTTCATTAAATCGAGGGAATTTTTATTGACGTGTTAAAGTGCAAAGCGGAAGGAAATGATGAACTTTCAAGTATTATCTTAGACAATGATCCACAAAATGCCCAATACATTGCTCTGTCAATTCAAAAAGAGGTTATTCATATTCTTGCAAACAGAGTGAGAAAACTGATTTGTGATGAAATTACGGGAGGTAAATATTGTATTCTTGTTGATGAAGCACAAGATGAGTCTAATACAGAGCAATTGGCTCTTGTTTTAAGATATGTAAAGCATGATGGCTTACAAATGGAACGTTTTTTTTGCCATTGTGGGAGTTGAAAACAGATCAGCAGTTACGCTTAAGGATACAATATGTGTTATTCTTGGTCGGTTTGATCTTTCAATTCAAAATTTGAGAGGTCAAGGGTACGATGGTGCTAGTAATATGCGCAGCGAATGGAATAGACTACAAACATTATTTCTTAAAGATTGCCCATTTGCTTATTATGTCCATTGTTTTACACATCGATTACAATTAGCATTAGTTGCAGCAGCAAAAGATGAGACGAATATTTGGCAATATTTCTCTCACCTAACTTGTATTGTCAATCTTGTTGCTTCCTCTCCTAAGCGTCTTGCTGAATTAAAATCTTTTCAAAGGGATGATATTGCATTTATGTTAAGCACAGGTGAACGTGAATCTGGTAAAGGTGCTAATCAGATTGGCACCTTGCATCGAGCTGGAGCTACTCGTTGGAGCTCACATTATGATTCTGTGAAGGATTTGATTGATATGTATATTGCATCCTGCAGAGTTGTTGAAAGTCTTAGAAATGGTGGACAAAGTCAATAAATATGTGGGCGAGCTTCAGGTGTTTACAAGGTAATGAGAAACTTTGAATTCATATTTATTTTACACCTAATGGATAACATTATGGGATTCATTGACACACTTTGCCAGGCCTTGCAATGCAATTCTCAAGATATTCTAAATGCTTTGAAATTAGTCTCATCAACTAAAAATCTCCTTCAAAAATTCAGAGAAGATTATTGGGATATTTTTCTTGCCAATGTGGTGTTATTTTGCAATCGATATAACATTGATATACCTGATTTGAGTTCTCGTTATGTAGAGGTATGGGTCGTTATTGTCAGCAACAAGATCATATTACAGTTGAGCACCATTATCACTTTGACATTTTCAACTCTGTAATAGATTTATAGTTGATGGAGTTAGAACATAGATTCAACAATGAAGTAGTGGAACTTCTTACTCTTAGCTCTGCTTTGGATCCTAGTGATTCTTTTAAATATTTTAACGTGGAAAAGATATGCAATCTTGCTGAGAAATTCTATCCTTGGGACTTCACTGTCCAAGATGTTAAAACATTGAAGTTTCAGTTGATGCATTATCAACTTGATGTATCTAGTGATCCCAAGTTTTAGAATATTTCTTCTCTTACTAATTGAAGTCGGGAACTAGTTGTAAGCAAGAAGTTTGAGTACTACCCTTTGGTTGATAGATTGATTCGTCTTGTATTGACTCTTCCTGTTTTTACAGCAATTACGGAAAGAGTATTTTCAAGCATGAAACGTGTTGAAACTGCGATGCGTAGCAGGATTGGAGATGCATTTCTCGCTGACTGCATGACCATCAATCTTGAACGGGAGCTTGTTTGGAAAATTGACTTGGAGCCTGTTATTGACGAATTCAAGTCTTTAAAGACTCGTCGAGCACAACTTAGATAAATATTTTGTAATCTTTGAATTTAAATATTTATCTATATTATGTTATAATATATATATATTTTTTTTGCTTAAGAAATTTTGTTATTAAATTTATGTTTAGTATTAGCCCACCCAAACGATAAATCCTGGATCCGCCCTTGCGAGCCATCAACCGGTTTTTTCTAGAAAAACACAAAGAAGAAAAACAGATTATGGGAATTGGATGATATCATTGTTCTAGGATTCGTCAAAACAAAAACAGATTATGGGAATTGGTTGTTGAAATCAATTAAGGAATTAAATGATGTAAGTCAAAATACTCACCTTGTTGTTGTTGAAATTGCTAAACAAAACCCTTAATTTAGGTGTTCAATTTAGCTGTTAACAGAAATCAATTTTTGGAAATAGAAATCAATTTTTGGAAATACATTCATAGCCCTCTAATCTTTTGATTCCTTACAAACACACAAAACAGAAAGTAATTTTTGGAAATAGAAATCAATTTTTGGAAACAATTGATTTGAAATTCAGCAATTAACATATCATTGTTATGGGATTTGTCAAAATAGAAATTGATTTTTGGAAATAGAAATTGATTTTTGGAAACAAATGATTTGAAATTCAGCAATTAACATATCATTGTTCTGGATTCGTCAGAACAGAAATAGATTATAGGAATTGGTTGTTGAAATCAATTGAGGAATTAAATGATGCAAGTCAAAATACTCACCTTGCTATCGTCAAAGTTGCTAAACAAAACCTTTAATTTAGGTGTTAATCCATAATCAACTCCGGTCACCACAATCAAAGCCTTATAATTTTTTTTCCCTCACAAACATACAAAACAGAAATCTATTTTTGGAAACAAAATTGTTTGGAAAACAAAAATCGTGCAGGAGATAAATTCGTTAATGGCAGAATTTGGGAAAGAATGACATTAATTTGGGAAATAATTTGGTTAATGGTGGGATTTGGGGTTTAGGGCTACTCTGGGTTTTGGAGGGAGCGCGAGAGAGGGCTTGTTTGTTATGCAACTATTGGTTCAAGGAAACAAACTCAAGCATAGACCATGGTTAAGGAGGACGACGTGGTAGAAGGAGGGCCAATGAAAAAATGAACTGCATGGACTGAAGGAATAGTGAATTGGACTGAATTCGAGTCCATCAGTATTCCATATCTTCAAACGTCAAGTTTTATGCTTATGTAATAACCCTAAACCAGAAAGAGCCTAAGAGCAACCGGTGTAGGGATTTTTTTGCCAGCTGGGAAGTCAGAGGAGCTAGTGTGTTGAATGCTATGAGGCTAGCAAATGGTGGGTCCCAGGTGAAGAATCGTAAAGCCAATCGCCATAGATAACATATCAATTGCGAGTGATGACTGGCCCCACAAACTGTAACGGCTCTTTATTTTTTTTTCTTTTGGTTTTTTTCTTTACTATTTCGTTTTATATGTAAGTTATTTTTATTGTAAAAAAAAAAAAACATTTATGATTTTGATTATTTTATTTTATTTTTTAATTTTCAAATAAATATGTATGATTTCTATTTCTGTCTTTTGGATTTTTTTTTTGGTAAGTTTGTCAGCAAATATATATGAAATTTTTTTTATAAAAAAATAATACTGTTAAAGACGGTTTTTTTGTTTACTATTTCCTTTTATATGTAATATAATTTTATTGTAAAAAAAATATTTATGATTTATGATTTTGATTTTCAAATAAATATATATGATTTCTATTTCTTTGTCTTTTGAAATTTCTTTCTTTGAAATTTGTCAACAAATATGCAAGAAAAAAAAATTAAAATAATACTTTATTAATCACAAACAAACAATATGAGGAAATACATTTTACTCAATATTATTGTTAAACTGCTTCATTGCCAAATTTATTCCACAAATGCTCCATCAGATCTCTCCTGAGATCCCCATTGTTTTCTTCATTGCGAATCTTGCTGAGGTGAGTGGAGATGTATGTTGCCAAAAATGATCGGTCTCGATTGTACTATGGAAGGTAGACCGACTTATTTGTTGGAGGTGTCCATTCCAAAATGTTAGTATTGCCCTCCTCTTCTATAATCATATTGTGCAATATGATGCATGTTCTCATTATCTTACTTAGGTCTTCTTTTTTCCAATAATTTATTGGTCCATGCATTATAATAGCCCACCTTATCTGCAACATACCAAATGCCCCGGATTCTTGTCTTTAACCAAACAATTTCTCTTTACTAGTAGTTGGGTGCGGGATGGTTTGCATCAAAGTTGCCCACTTAGGGTATATACCATTAGATAGGTAATACCCCAACGTACAGTGATGTCCATTCACCTTGTAATTAACTGGAGGCATTGTATCATTAATGATATGATTGAATATTGGGGAATGATCCAAAACATTCATGTCATTATGTGAACCAGCCATACCAAAGATAGCGTGCCAGATCCACAGATTTTTTTGTTGCAACCGTCTCCAATATGATGGTTGGCTTACTGCCTCTCCCCTTGTGGGTGTCATGCCACCCTTTAGGGCAATTCTTCTATTCCCAATGCATACAATCTATAGAGTCATGAGTTGTAATCAACAGCAATACATATACTTACACGGGGATCCTCTTTCTTCCCCATTTTGAAGTAAAGGTGTAATGTTGCTTTCGTTTGGCGAGCGTAGGTACTGCTCTGCATACAACGCAATTACAACATCACAAAATCTCTTCAAGCTTTCAATTGCGGTGCTGTGACGACCCTGGTTCTTTAAGCCAGTGCGTCTTGTGATGAATTGGAGATTGACCTGATAGCGGATTCAGATGTAGAAGCAAGAAACAAGACAACAGTCACCCAAGGCACAACATGCCTCTAAGACACTTTGACCTTCCATGAGGCCTGGAACTCAATGAGAACTGACGTTAAAACAAAAGATCAGAAAAGTAACAATTCAGCCTCTAGGGGCAAAATAGTCATTTCTAAAAATATGAATTCGGGTGCCACTGAGTACACTGCTGGAAATACAACAAAAAACTAATCAAGATGGACTCAAGAATCACTTGATTCGGAGTCCGGACAAAGGAGAAACGGCATGACGAAGAAAAACGAGCCGTTCAGGCTAAAAGGGTAAATTGGTAATTATCTAGGAATATTTGGGTGAAACCGAGCACACCATTGGAAAGACAATGAAAAATTAATCAAGTTCAAAAAATTTTTTACTCTATTTGGAGTCCGGACGAAGGAGAACGAGTGAAAACAAAAGTCGACGTCACGACGTCGAGACGAGCACCCCACGAGCACCCCGACAAGCACCGTGACATGCTAGGGGAAGAAAAGTTCTAGTTAGAACTGAGAGCTAAAATGAGATCCGAAACGAATTTTTCTGGAAAAACATGAAGAAGAGCCCCCCCCCCCCCCCCCCCCCCCCCCCAAATCAAGTTTTATACTCGACTGCGAGAAGGAAAACACAAAAAACTCATTGTGAAACACCCAAATTGCCCCTAGATCAGAAGAGGTCAAGAGGGTCAAAAAGCTGCTACAGGATCTGTCCGCGACTGAGAGAAAAAATGGGTCATCAAATGAATTTTTTTGGAAAAATACGAAGAAGAAACCACCCCCCCCCCCCCCCCCAAAATCAAGTTTTCTACTCGATAACATAGACTGAAACAAAGAAAATACACTGTAAAATGCTTAGAATACCCCCAAAAAAATCAAGTCAAGAAGTTTAAAATCTTTCCGAGCTGTTGCTAAAGGAAAGGAAATGGGGCTTCGGGATGTTTTTAAATCGTCTAAATTAAAAATGCAATCTTAAAATACACCCACAAGACCCCCGGAAGTTTTGGATCGATCGACACATTTTTCAAAAAAAAGTCGATGAATAATGATGCGACCCTGGCGTGTGTATAAAATAATGCACAACACTTTGGTTTTGGAAATGGTATCAAGCGGGCATCATAGTTTACATTTATAAACCGCTAGACACTTATACTATATAGTATGAATCGAGTAGGGATCGTCCCAAGGGATTGAACACGTGTTGGGATTAAACTTGGTTTTAAAGTTAATTAGATTGTGAAAGAGATAAATAGAGAGAGAGAGTTTGAGAGAAAAAGATTTTGGTGAATAATTAAACTAGAGTTCAATTGAAAGCATGGAATTGCAAATAAATTAAATTAAATTAAACTAAGAATTAAAGAGATAGGAAGAGAGTCTTAGGGTTAGAATTCACCACTAAGCTCATGCAATTAACCATATGCTTTCAATTAATGGGGAATTCATTAGTGTAATTATAGATGTGGTCACATTATCATCACAAATCACAGTTGTAAGCATAGATTATCAATATCAAGAATGAATTATCTACCTAATGACAATTAAACTAAAGTGTAGAACCCATTCAAAACTACGTCATAAGCCACCATACACATTCACAAATGTATCCGATAAGAGCACACATCATTCAAGAAGATAATACAAATTGTAATTAGAAGTATGGATTAACATAATCAAGTACAAATTGCCTACTTTACTACAGTTAACTAATGACAATAAGCTAATTTGTAGAACAACCTATCAAGATTAAGCCTTTATCCTAAATTAATTGACAATTATATCAACTAAGTATCATTCTATGACCATCACTAAACACAACTAAAAGAAGTATCTAGTGTAGAGTATAATTCTAAATCAATCACACATAGACATGCAATTTTCATATAGAATCAATGGAAGAATTAATTTTCAATCATCTAATGAAGACTAAAATACCTAATTAATCATATATAGACATACAATCAACTAGAGATTTTAATGGAAGAATTTATCAATACAAGCCCTAATTTATCAAATCAAGCATGTATATATAAAGAAATCACAAGGCCATATGGTTAATTATAACATATTAATTCCCCAAGAAAAGAAATACAAAGGTTTAGGTTATATGAACTTAGGGCTCATCCAAGCCCTAAGTGAAGAATTAGCTCATGGAGGAGATGATCATGGTGTCAACAAGCCCAATCCCCATCTTTTGACTCCTTCTTCTT